GTCAGTCGCACGTGGTCCTTTTTGAAGTTTGAGGTTCAGGTGTGGTTGATTTAGATCAAGTTAGAAAACCTATGCCTCCGACTGCGGAATATCGCAGCATAGAGAGAGAGAGAGAGAGGGAGAGAGAGAGTGGTATTTTCAGTTTTGATGTTTTCTTACTAATGTTCACAATAAAGAGGATGACATCAGCGTGATACTGCTGTCATCCGCTGGAAATGCCTTGTTGCTTTCTTACTACACAGACGTATTAACACAGACTTTATAGACTAGTCTTACGTCTTGATTGGACTACATTTAATCTTCCAATCCTAATCCTGCTTCAGTTAATATTGAATGTTGTGGCAAGCGGTACCTCAGCATCGAGATGTATATCCTAGCCACCTCAAAGTCGATGAATTTTCACTACTTTATCGACTGATTTGCCTGTCCTACCTGATACCCACTGACTAACCTCGACATCATTCACACGATGATTCCGGCAGTGTCTAAGCAGTGCTGTGAAGACACCTGTGGTCTAATACCTGTATCTGTTTAATACTTGAGGAGTTGCATCAGCCAGAACTGGCTGGTTGCTGAAGAGATCCTGGCTCAGATACAGAAGACCTGTCTAGGATTTGTTAACTTGTATCACCTTTGGCTCCAGCGAGATATCCGACTACCTATCAAAAGACGAGTATACTGCGCTGTAGTCCTTTTTGTCCTGTTATACGGCTGTGAGATATTGCCGTTAAAAGAAGATATGAGGCGGTTGCAGGGTTTCGATCACAGGTTTTTTCGCACCATTCGCGTTTGGTGGTGTGTGAGGAATGTTAAAATCAGGGTACTAGGCAAGAAAGCCAAGTCGATTGAGACGGCTTGGACACGTGTACTGCGCATGCCAATCCACCGCCTACCTCAACGTGCCATAGTAGGGGAAACTGGTTTAGGTTTCAAGAGAGTTCAGGGTGGCCAGACCAAAATGTGGTAGCAGTCGATGAAGTCTCTGACTGTTGGTCTCTGTCGTGTGAGGCTATGTAGAATACCTGATTGGGGTCTACGAAACGAAAGGAATCAGTGTTTGAGGATTCTTGGTAACATGGCTAAAAATTGGTCACAGTGGCGCAGATTTATTCACTGTTTGACATCCTCTAAAGCTGGAACATTCACACTAACCTTTATCTTCAAATTGTTTATTCTCTCATACTACTTTATCTACTCTGATATCACTCCTTTCCTATCCACCTTTTCTTTGTGTACTACTATGGAGTTAGGCATTTTTGGCTGATGCACCTATGTGCGAGGTTCTACGTTGATTTTCTTGGTTGTAGGTCAGGGAATCGTATATCTCACCGGCGCCAGAGATGACAAGTTGGCAAATGCCAAATGGGGCTTTTTTTATCCGAAATGAAACTTCATCAGCAACCTGTCCGTTCAGGCTAATGCAACTCCCCATTTAAGTGAAGTGGTCAGCGCATTCAGCTACTTCACTCCCTATCCTTAAACTAGAAAGAGTTACAGACCAGGCCTTACCTCTGACAGGTGCGGAAAGCATGCCAATCAAACATACTCAGGTTTCTACTCAAGGCGTTCATGAGACCCTGCATTTTGTCAGTGTTTTCGCGTGTCAAAACAGTTCCGTCTGCATACTGCAAGCCAGCCACATGTCCTATAGTGATTAGGTCAATCCGTGATTTCGGACGTACCTAAGGTCATATCGATTATAACAACAACGGACATCCCTCCCGAGCACCCCTGGTTGTTATTTCAGATGACAGCTTTCCATAAGCCCTTACACAACTGCATGAGTTTGAGTAGAGGCATTTGATTAGCGATATATACTTGCTCGGTACTCCTTTCGGAGTCAGACACTGCAAGCAACACCTCATGGTCGACAGAGTCGAATGCCTCACTCAGGTCAAGAAATACCTCAAATATCTACCACCGGTAAGTATGTCTGTGTTCCGTAACCTGATGAAGAGTGAAAATGTGATCTATGCACCTTCACCCCGGTCTGAAACCTGCCTAGTTTTCTCAAGCCTTGTGTAGGCGTTGGAAAACTACGAACTCTAGGATCATGATCACGTTCTTAGTTAAACTGGTTTCCTTATGGCTGTTATAAAAAGCCTCTCCTTCTTTATGAACTTGAACGATCAGTGAAGTAGACCAACCTGACGGGATTACTTCTGATTCTTATACACCTCTTAGTGCTTCCCTTACTCTATTAAGTAATTTACTACCTCCATCGTTATAAATTTCTAGCGGTAAACAGTCAGGTGCTGCTGCTTTGTTTCGTTTCAGGTTCGATACAGCTTTCCGACCGTTGAGAGTTAAAGGACCAACATCTACCTCCCGCTATGGTTCGGACTGAATGCTGAGAAGCTGAATCGTTGGTGTGGGCAGTTCAGCTGTGCTTCAAAGTGTTATGCTCAGCGTTCTATTCGTCTACTCTGACAGGCTATCAGGGTCCCATCGTTTTCGATGATGGTTTCACCATCGTCTTCTTCCTGCCAGTTTCCTTAAGTGGTGTAAGCAGCTAACGCTAATACCTTCTCCGCCTTTTTCGCTTTCACTACTCATCACTGCTCATCATCATTTTGAAGACTTGGTCAGTTTGCGTTCATGTTGTTTTCGTTCCTCATTGTGGTCTGAGCCAACTGGAATGAGTCTTTTTATGTCAGTCAGTTCAGATGGCGTTGCGGAAATTTATTGACTTTTGGTAGCCTCAGGATGGAAGTTATCAACTATCTTTATCATTGTTCCCACTTCAGACTGAATGTCACACCAAGCTTCCTCCGGATGGGAACTGCTGTCACCTTCAGATAAATGTTTACCTATCTCCTCCTTAAATGCTTACTTCGCGTTCTCATTTTCCAATCGAACACATACAGGTTTCACTGCCACCTATATTCTACAACCAGTAAGACCCAAACAAACATGTGTCCGTACTAACGATTGATCAGATTCCAAACAGGTATCCTAGAAAGAGCGTCAATCCACTACCGATCCTTTCCAACGATGAAGATGTCCACTGTTGACTTGATGTCGATGGGACAGTCTATCCTTCTGCCCGAAGTTAGTGCTGCTCAGAAGCAGGTGATTGTCAGACAAAAAAGCATTGTATGTGACAATCACTGTTGTCGGTTCGTTGGCATGGTTTACCCCTGATACCTCCCAGATATTTTCCAGATTGAGTCACCTTTCATGAAGTCACCTTCTAGCTTGACCATATCTGAATTTTCGCTTTATATAACGAAATCGGCAGCTTTTCGCAGAAATCATCTTAATACTATGGAGACTAAAGTCGATGAGGTTTTGAACCCTCATCGACTCTGAGGTGACTTGAACGCATATCTTTCGCATGTCGAACCACCGCCTACCTCGATATGCAATGCTAGTCGAAGTTGATTTAGGTTGAAAGAAGGCTCAGGGTGACCGAACTAAGATTTGATACTAGTGCACGAAGTCCCTGACTGTTGGTCTGAATCGTTTAGGAGTGTGTAACTTATCTGTCTGAGCCCCCGAAACGATAGGAATAAGTGGTTTAGGACTCTTGATGAAATGGCGGAAAATCGGACATAATGGGGAGAGTTGTGTTCACTTCTTGATGTCTTCTAATGCTTGATTATTTTGACTATCCTTCATTTTTAAATTGCTTCTCCACTTATACATTTTTGTCTACTTTTATATTAGTTTTTTCCATCTAGTTGTTGCTTGCACGCTACCGTGAAGTGTGGCAACTTGAACCACTACTCTTACTTGCTAGGTTCTACGTTGATTTTGTCCTTCCGTCTGCGTATGATTCATACGATGAAAGCTCCAGTGTAAAATTAGGAGTGTGGTTTTAGTGTACTCAAAATAGTATTTTCCCAAGTTGGAGCGTTAGCAGTGATCACGGGGTGGAAATCTGAGAAAGTTGTAAACGCTGAATATTGACATCAAGAAGTAAAGACAAGGGATGAAAATAAAATCAGGGTTCGTTGAATTTCGTTTATTACTGGAAGCGTGGAGATGGTTGACACTTCTCGTCTGTTTACACCGTGGAATTTAATTCTGCAAGTCGTGTGATAAAGAAAATGGATAACAAAGTGACATTCATCAAGGACTAGCATCAGATGGAGAACCACTGCAAACTGGGGAGCACTGGATAGCTATTTCTTCTTAGTATCAGACTGTTCAGCAGTACGAACCCACTACTTCTTCAGACTTCAAACCTAGGACCTGCGGGTGGCATGGTGAGCACGTTGGTATTTAGCCACTGAGTGGGAGTCCAATGATTCGCAGTCTCCCACTTCTGTTGATTCGCAGCATAGCGCAATCATCATCCAATGTGATCAGTGGGTACCGACTTCACTTTGCAGTTGGTTGACTCCACAAGTCACGGCTTCGTATTGGAACTTAAGGAAATCCATCTTGAAGCATTTCACGGGAAAGAACTAGGGATAAGTATTGCGTAAAAGTGGATTCCATGGGACGTTTACTTGGGGCTCGCTATGCATAACCTTTTAAAGATGGATGGGTTCATACTTATATGTGCTAACGCTGGCCAAGGAAAACCTATTCCACTAGCACCAAAATACTATGGAGCAGGGAGGCGTGTGCTCTTATAGAGGTCGGAATTTCTCCACCTCCCTTCTCATAGAGAAGGCAGCATCAGAATCAACATTGACTGCTAGTCACCCGCAGAATACATTTTACTGCTGTCTCACACCATATAATTAACAGTACGACTTCATCCTCAAACCCCCATCATGGTATGTCTATGTACGTCATAACAGTAGTTTCTTTTTGTCTTACTATTACTATCTGCAATATCTTTATGGGATGGTAGGGCCTCAAGCAACAATCGTTTCAGTCTACTTAACTTGTTGGGCCGTTGAGATTTGTAAGCCTGTCTACCACTTCATTGTAGCAGCTATCTTCGACCAAGTTACTGATGAATGTTGATTATTTAATCATTCAAACAATTTTTGACATTTTAATCTCTTAATTCAAATTTACTCTATGGTTTTCACATTTTTCAGGTTTTACTCTGTACAACGAACTAACTTACCCTCTGTGTGCTCAATTAATTTTAATGGATGAAACACATATTCAGTTGTTACGCTTTCAGTTGAACTCAATAACGTCATTATGGAAAGCTGAAGATTCAATGTTGCCATATAATTTAGCTTGGTATTCTCCACGTGTAGAATTGTGTAAATTACACTCAGATTCAGGGTAAGCCTTCACAAAACGAATATTTTATGCTTCATAAGAAGTGGTTAGTACTGAGTAGATGGGCCGTTAAATGGTCACCAGTTTCATATTATCTACCCTTTAGCGCTAACTAAACTTTACTGATGATGTCTGTTATTTGATCAGCTGAGTAAGTAATTCTCTTAAGATCGTGTTGCAGTTTATTTGGTGCTGGATTGTGAAAGGCCAAACGATAATAAGCTTCGATAGTCACTATATGAGGGGGGGGGGCTATTTGTGGTTTTTAGACGAAACAAATCTCAAGCATAGTCTGCACTCTTACTGTTACCTTTTTATCGATTTTGAACTACTTGACTGATATCGCCAGCTCTAGGAATATAATGTCAATTTCTAAATCCTAAGGGTAAATTACATTTGTATTTGTGAGTCAAGGTCTTATACAACAGTTCAGGCATCCGCATATCAACAGTCAGGTTACGGGTTGGACTTCCTTTTACTTAATTTATCTTAAGCTACCTGGTTGCAATACCAACTGGGAAACAATTTAGTACAAAAGTATGTACGAGGCAGCATTCAAACTATGGAATCTCTAAAAGGTGGCAGCAACCAAGTAAATTATGCTAGGATCGCTGCAGATAATTCCAATATTTGAACTGTAGTAACCAGTTCGTATTCATTGCGGAGACGCTCGACCCTCATATTTTGGTGTCAAAATCACACCACGATGTCTGTCGAGTGAGTTTGTAACAGGCTGTATCATTTACGTAGCTTCTTTGAACCTGGGGTCGATTGAAGTATGTAGTGGAGTGGCAGAAAACACACTTCCTCTTTGCTCTTACGATTTGCAGTGAGAGTGTATATTTCTGGTTTGGGATATCAGCTAGTGGTGATACTACCTTGAAATCAGTAAGTCACCACAAACCTCTGAAGTAAATGCGCAGATGTAATCGTTTTACTCACTACAACATATTTACTAACAAGGAAGAACATGCTGAAGGCAACAGATCATATACAATAAAGTATTTGATATACAACTGATCGAGTACTTTATAAATAATTCTTCATGTTGATTAAAGTGTTAAACTAAAACACACTCATGGACTTTTTAAGCAACATGACACGTGAAGTTGAGGTAAACTAATCAACGTATGCGATTGATGTTTGGTGTTTCTCCTCCACTCTTTACTAGATCCAACTCCTGGTTACATGTAAATGAAGAAGCCATTTCACTCATAACATCTGCTATGCTGCATCCTGTGGATAAAACAGTTTCTAGTGAAACACTTCGTCCTTATCTTGCTGATGGTTCGGCTCCAAGAAATTATCTTATTTCGAAGTCAGATAAACGTTTAATTCCTTCTAAAAAAGTTGGAAACACTTATGATGAGCAATATGGTGATATATCTAAATCTGTGCTCAGTGAATCTGAAATGGAGGCATTAAAAACTACTGGTAAACTGGGTCAGAAGAAAAGAAGAATACGTTTGTTTACTGCCAAACGTCCACATCCAAATGATATATTTTTCTACAAAGTATGTTCATATTTCGTTCTTTTTAACTTGTCTTCTATATTAATATGCAGTACATGCATACACTATTTACGTGCCGACTGGACGTGCAAAAAGGTGCTCCTTTGTACGAATTGCATTTTTATTTTGAGTGCCTTATCTATGTGAAGAGATGACTAATTCTTCGATATTCGCTTGACGCATCTGTTCCACTGCATTGTAATGTATATTTCACAAATGTGTTTCATAACGTATTCATTTAACTTAGATAGAAATCTATTTCACAGAAGGGTTATCAGAGAAGGGAGTTGAGTAGGAAGTCATGTTTGTTTGTTTATTGCTAGTTTCACAGAGTTCAGTGTTAGGTTGTTGTTGTTGGCGGCTTTTCGGACACTTTGAACCTAGATATTTCGTAATTGCTGATATTCGTCAAGAGGATATTCGTAACTGCATTGAATTTCCCACTTTCTGTAAGATTTAGACCTGCATCACTCATGGACACTAGTGAAAATGTTATCATTGAACTATCCGTATTTCAAATTCATCTTTAACAGAATCACCAGTCACTTGAGACTTCTGCCAATCGCACTAACTAATTTTTCTTTTCCAGAGATTTGATTTATTTACAGGTTAGTCCTTTTTATTCAGTATGAAGGGGCAGTGTTTGTTCTGGTTGATATTCATTAGAATTTCTTCACTTTGATTTTAAAGTTAACATGAGTTGGAGAAAATCTTGGAACCATGGATCGATGGACACTGTTGTGTGCTATAATATGTGACTGATTTGCAGCCAATATCGACTAGTGATAAGTGCTCCAAGCAGTTTCCCGTTTGGTTATCTAAAGCATAATTAAGTAATATAAGGTTTACTACACAGCAGCTTGATAAGTACAATACAATGATTACCACATACATGTTTCTTATACTCAGTAAAATGTTAAAAGCTTAATCTTTTGATTGATTCCTTTTCATATGATAGTTAACAGATAAGCATACTCTTGTTGATGAGATCAAGGAGACAATGCCAGATTTTGGTGGACCATTCAGCAGGCTTCCAGAACCTTATCTCAGTAAGATGAGAGAATATCAAGAGATGAAACGCAGAGCTCAACCACGAATACGTGTTCAACCACCTCCGCGTCGCTGGCGTTGATCGGATATATCTACGATCCAATTTAGCAATGACCTGCAATTTCTGCTTTGAATTCGTGATAAAACACACTGTACAGAAATAAAAATGTTGATTCACATTTCGACTTTTTACTGGTGAGTTAGTACCGCAATGAACTAGAATAGATTACATCGGTAATAAGTGCTGTGGGTCGATCATCTTATTTCTCAGTGATATTTCATTGTCCTACTAACTAGTGAAAAGTAGTATAAATTCACTTTGGAAATTGCTTCATCATTCCAACATTCCTCACATCTAAAGCATTTAATGGTCTTGTATTTATTTTTCGGATGAAACTAGTTAATCTTTGTGCCGCACAAGTCATGATAATATGGCTTTCGTGCAGAAATCTATCAGTGAAATGATTTTTGTGGTGAGGCAGCTTTGGCTTTAGGATTCTCAGACAATGTAGAGCTGTCGTAACCCTTATGATCCCGTGTAGCACTGATGGAACACCTGAGAGTTTTCCCATGGATCTGGTCCATTGTGTAGTCAGTTATTACTCAGATGGAAGAAATTTCACTTCTTAAGTGGATTCAAGTCCATGACAGCAACTTGATGTTCAACAGGCTTACCTGCCCACATTATTGACCAACTGACTCACCTCAAGTCGAATACTGTGTGGTTTACTTTAAGAGGTTAAGTTGTATGCTAATTTTTGAACACTCTGAAGGAGATTAGCCACACCGGAGACCCTGGAAGTATCAGTTTGTTGGTGTTCAGGGATGAATTTTTCTTTACGTAATTTACTTGCGGAAGGCCATCAGTATGGTCCACGGGATTCTATTGTTTTTCCGTTTCTTTGTCAGTAATCCTATGTCATCTTTGTTCTCTTCCTGCGTAGCAGCCTTCAAAAAGACTCGAGTTCACGGAACAGCATCCCAAGTCCCTTGACACTGTGTTGCGAACTGCACATCAGAGTTTTCAATATGCACACTCCATCAAATTGGAGAATATGCGTCGTAATCCAAAACCCTGTCATCTCGGGCCATGAATGTGTGCTGTGCTAGTAAGATACGAATACAACATCCACGCGACCCTCTCCACCTAACCTCAAGCAATCTTCCCAATGAATCTGCGAAATGCAGTTTTCGAGTTTCTTGAGATTTGATGGCTATTTCGCTTGATGTTTTAGGTATTGGTGTGATGTGTGATGCTATGCCTACACCTGAATGGTGTACCGTTGTGGAGCTATGAGTCATTCTTGTAAGACAGTTGACTTTCAACCAGTTGGTCACAGGTTGGAACACTTACTGAGGTCCGGACAGCTAGGTAGTATCACTAGAACTCATGGTAGGTGGGGCTCGTTGCGTAATGCGCTAATATGCAGAAAGTTGCTGACTAGTTGGATTTCAGAGTCGATGTATAAAATTAAGTGCTAAAACAGTGAGTTTACTGGTCGATTTGATTCTAGGTGACAGTTACCTGTAAGCCGTTCGATTCAATGATGTTATGTAGACCAGACAAGATAGTACAACTTGGCACTGTGACTTTGTAAACTCTGCCCACGCAACCACTGAATGTTAGTCGTATCACGTGAAGCAAGAGCTCTACCAAAAACTGTGTAGGCTGCTACTGAAAGCCGAGTAGTCGGATGAAGTAGTCGTGGGAGGATACTACAGCTCACAGGCTTTGCCTAACGACACTGAGATAGCACTTTCAGGATCTACCGCTTCCTAAAAACGGATAACAGTGATCGTCACAAAAAAGTATGCTCTCAAGAGATTACAAGTTTCTGACCACTGGTATCTATCTCTGCAGCATTTCTCCCCTATAGTGGGGATTATCGTTTTAGCGATGTCGAGGTTAGGCAATGGGTATTGGGTAGGAGAGGCAAATCAGTCGATAAAGTAGTGACTCTGAGGTGGCCAGGGCAGACGTCCCGTGTGATGAGTCACCGCTTGCCACAACGCTCAGTATTATTTGAAGCAGGATTAGAATTGGAAGAAGACTAGGTGTAGTCAAACCAAGACGTAACGCTAGTCGATGAAGTCTCTGACCGTTAGTCTGAGCCATGTAGGAAGGGAAATGTAGACCTCTTGGCTGCAGACCTGGAGGTGATAAGAATCAATGGTTGCAGACAGACCTCTGCTAGTATGGCTGTTAATCGATAACTATGGTACGAATGTATCCACATCACTCTTCAACGTCTTCGGAGTTCGAAAATATTTGTTGAGCGTCATCTTGAAATTCTTTCTCCTCCTTTCATACACTAGTGTCTGCTTTAATGTTGTTGTTTCTGTACCGACTTCTTATTTGTGTGCCGCTTGCTGTCAAGTGTGGCACTTTGAACTGATGCACGTCTGTGCAAGGTTCTGTGTCCTTTTTGTTAATTCGTTTATCTGTGACGTTTGAAAGCAACAAGGCATTTCCAGGCATTTCCCACGCTGATGTTATCCTCTTTATTGTGAACATTAGTAAGAAAACATCAAAACTGAAAATACCACTCTCTCTCTCCCTCTCTCTCTCTCTCTATGCTGCGATATTCCGCAGTCGGAGGCATAGGTTTTCTAACTTGATCTAAATCAACCACACCTGAACCTCAAACTTCAAAAAGGACCCACGTGCGACTGACCTCAAACAGATGCCCTGACTAGTCTGCATTCACCCACCACTACTAATAATGAAATGTCTTTTTGACATGACCAAAGAATAATTAACATTCCGGTGTGTCATTTGTAATCTCCTGGTAAACAAGTGTTAATGGCCATAACTGATTCTCAGAAAGAGGTTATGAAAAGTTGGTTGACTCCAGCCTCCTCCTCTTCTATTTCTTCTTCTTCTTCTACTTCTTTTTCTAAATTGATGAATGCGCGTGAACGCATTTCAACTGGCTGCAAGCACAATGAAGAGAGGAAGCAACTGAATTATAGACTGATAAGAAATCTACGTAATGACGGCAAGCAGAGGTGGGTGGCGAAGGCTAGGGAGACGGGAAAGGTAGCGGTGATAGATAACAGTAGACAGGTGTCTAAAATTATCGAGAAAAGCAGAGTAAAACTGTCAATGACTAGTGAGTATGGCGAAGAAAGATAAGCTTGCGATTCACTCGTCTGGGAGACGACTGGAAGAATGGGTGGAGCACTGAGGAACAGGTCAGTTGTTGTCCGGCGGCCATTGTGTTTCGCACTATCCAGTTGTATTGTAAAGGGAATATTGGAGTCGGGGCTCCATTTTTTTTCGAAGGTAAGTTGTGAGTAATGTGAAGTGCGAAATTTAGGCTGGTCTTTACGGGACAGTACCGGCGATATTTGTCGATGGCTGTCGAGAACTATTGGAGGTTGAAGTAGCCAAGGTATTAGGCAGCGAGTGCACGGTAACCACATATGATTCCCTCTGACTAATCTAAATCATTAATTGTCCCAGTCTTAAAGAAAGACCAAAAATCCTGTTGTTAAGACCACAGAATAATCATTCTGACGACCAAAGTTTCCAACATTTTAGTTTGATAATCATTAGACGCGTAGTTGTACATGCAGATCTTCATTCCTCTTTTTTCTGATGGATAAATGTAAATCACAGATATTAAATTTCGAGAACACGAAGAGGCTTCATATCTGTTCCTGTTGTTGCCTTTGTTTCTCGTGTGGTAGGTGCTTCGTCGTTTCACTTCCTCAAGGATGCTGATGTCAGGCGTTGTTTTGGGCAGATGGGTAAGTCACCTGTGAAGCTTTATCGACTCCGGTGGCTGGGAATGTGTTATACAATGCCTAGTCACCGTCTTCCGCCATCAGGCAGAAACAGCTACAGGTGGTCTGACTAAAACGTGGCAATAATCCCCGACGTTTGAGAATGTTAATCTTGACCATGCTGTCAGATGTAGACTCTCCTGTTAGGTCAGCATGACAACAGAAAGCGGAGGTTTGAGACTAGGTGATATGGTTCGCTGTCGACATCACTGGCACAGTGGAATCTACCAACTCCCTTGATGTTAAATGTGGTACTCAATTTCAGTGTCGTTTCATTCCTCTTTTATCTCTTGGTAAATTCCTGCAACATATAAACGGTTCTTTCTTTATCTGTTTAACTTTCACCTTGGTGCGTTCCAGGTGATATGAGTTGTAGCAGTGTAGACAGTGAGGCAGGAATGTTTGTCCTGTTTGATGTCTGTCTTCTCGTTTTCTATCTGTCTGTTCATATCCAAGTATTGTTAAGCGGAACTTCGTCTATTTTACTAGTCCACTAGATTACTAGCAAGTTATAAGCCCGGATAAAGAGGGATGGTTGGGCATAGGGCTAGCAAACCCACCCCGGAAAACCAATCTGATCGCTAAAGAAACTTCAGAGCACAAAGAAAATGTGAAAAGTAGAAATAAATTTATTCCTCGCTGGAATCGGGAAGAGGAAATGACACCAGTTGGTGAAAGCTTTCAGGAAGCCAATTGGCCTATATATCTTCTCTTCTGTTGATGAAAGCGAAAGTAAACATGGGGTCATGGAATGTCCGCACCATGTCTGAACCAGTCAAGGCTGCCAAGATTGCAAAAGAGATGAGAAGGTATATCATAGGAGTTCTAGGAATCAGCGAGGAATCTGTAGGCGGAATGGAAGTGGAGTCTCCCAACTGTCAACAGGAGAGTCAATAATCTACTCCGATATTGTCATCCAGACGACAACCACGATCACACTGAGTTTTGGAGTGGTTATCATCATGTCCCCAACAGCATCAAAGGCTCTCACTCATACAGTGGGGACCAATCTCCTCCTGCAGGATCAGCATCATGACAGCAAGATTCAACTCAAAAGGAAGGGAAGTCACAATCATACAATGCTACGCAATGGACCTACAAATAATGCAGATGGAGAGAAGAGGGAGGAATTCTACAGACAACTACAATCAGTAATGGACAAGACTCCAACCTAGATGGCGATGGTGACATCAAAATTCTAATGGGTGAGGTGACATGAATGCTAAACTGGGAGTGGACAACACAGGTAGAGGACCAATCATAGGTCGAGAAGCACTTGGTGAAATGATGACTGAGAATGGAGAACTGTTTGCAGACTTCTTAGCACCCAACGATTTGGTGATGGGAGAGTCAGGCAGTGTGTACAAACACAAAGATATTCACAAGGCAGCGACATGGAATTCACCAGACACCAGGACACACCACACTAAAAATCAGAACAACCCATGGGAAGATATTAGATTTGAATTTCGCCGATGATGATTTATGTCTAGTGTCTTGTCACACAAACTCGAAGATCTACAGGCGAAAACTAACAAGTTGACATAAGAGGTGAGGCGAGGCAGCGAAGACGGGACTTCAAGTGAACGTAGAGAAGACGGAGGTGGTGAAGACACCAAACTAACAACAACAACAACAACAAGAGGCACCAATCACCATTAACGGGAGAAACCTAAAGGAAGTTGTCTCTTTCACCTACCTAGGCAGGACAGCATCGTTTCAACTACAGGCAGCGGCGACGCAGATGAGAATGTGCAAACCAGGATCGGAAAGACAGCAAGACAGGCTTTCATTAGTCTGAACTCACTGTGGCGATTTACTGCACTCAGAACAAAGAACAAGATTTGGATTTTCAACACCAATGTCAAGTTAGTCTGTGCTTCTATATAGTTCATAAACTTGGCGCGTCACAAAAAGCATTTCCAACAAACTACAGACATACATCATCAGTAGCGGCCGACTACGCCCACTCGATACTGAAGATCAGATGGCCAGAATAATAAGAATAAGCAACAGGGAACTCTGGCTGGCTGACAACGAACCAACCAAGGACCTATCACCCAACAAATATGTAGAGGAAGAAAGTGGAGATGGATTGGGCATACACTGAGAAGGCCGATTGGGGATTTCACGCGCCAAGCTCTCGAGTGGAATCCAAATGGGAAACGACGAGTTGGGCGTCCCAGCTGAGCGTGACATGGAGGAGATCGTGTGAGGAAGAAATGAAAGTTTGTGGGCAGTCATGGCGCCAGGTTCAAAAGACTGCAGAGAGAGAGTGTAATGGAGGCGTGCTACTGAAGCCCTATTTTCCACTAGGAACCCAAGGGACAAATAATAATAACAATATAATAATGAATGTCTGCTATCTAGATATTTGAACCGTAGTACAGTTTCTCATTTTCTGACTATAAATTTAGTAGAATCATCGAGAAATTCCTGACCTTTGGCAAGCAAATGTTTAGTCAGACCAGTTGTGTTTGGAACTATCTCAAACTAGGTAGGTAACCGGTTGATCAAAACTTCCTGTACACACTGAAATTTGCTGCAGAAAAACTTAAACACTTCCAATGCGTCAAAAGTTGGAATGGTATGTAAGTACTTCCACAGAATGGCACCCAAAATATCCAAAATTTTCAGCGCATGCTGAAAATTTTTAGTGTGTTCAATGTACGTTTTGGGTTGCGCTGAAAGCTCGCAGCATGTGCGCAAATTATTGCCTTTTTCCTATTCAATAAAACATTCATAGTTTTTTAGAAAGTTGCCAATAGCTCTGAATACCCGAATAACCTGTTTGCTGATGTGGGGAACGCTATTATGAGGTGCTAATAAAAACTGTATTTTGTAGTGGGTAGGGGCTACCACAAGAAATATCACCAATCATCTGTGCTGTACTTAGGATGCTACCTTGTGGCTGTACCAGTCTAAGGTAAAACCATTTTTTTTCAATGGATTTGTGGCATACATGACTGATTCCTGAATAATCACATATAAATCCAAAAGCTACGATGAAAGCAGATTATCATAAAGCTCTTCTTCCCTCGCCAAGTAGTCAATAGTTGGATTATTTACTCAAACTGGTATTACCTTCGATGAACTTTCTAAAGAAAAACGTAGTTCTTACAGTGAGGAGTGCAGCAGATCAGGTGATCTTCTGGCCGTATCCATGAAGACTGCTGCAATCTATGAAATTGTTAAATTCAAGGCAGGTATAGAAATTAAAGCATCGTAAAGAAAAAAGTTACTTCGTTCATTTGTGTGTATATTTAAGTCGTGTAGTCAGTGTTATGGCAGCATCTTCAGAAGCGTTATTTTATTTTTGAACTTCCTTTGAATTGTGACTTTGTCTTCAGATACATAAAATTGTAGTTATTCGTACCGTTCCATTTGTTTTTACAATTTTTGATACCTCTTTGGTATTTAATCTTTTAGTTACCGGTACCTACTACCTAAGAGACGACAATGAGATTACTTCACAAAATACCGAAGTTTTCTCTAGCCATCCGTTATATTTCATCATCTCCTACCCTTTTCAAACAACCACCTCATGACAAACTACGATCCAAAAGAGCCAACCCCCACCTTTTCATTCGCTCCCCTTTTACGATCAAGCACCGGCTGACAGTCTACCGAGTAAAGAGGTAAAAATTGGTGGTCACTGGGGATCAATGGATGAGAAAACCAAGAAATTAAGGTAGCGTACTTTTTCTGTTTGTTTGAAGTGAAACGTTCTGCACATAGAATGTCATTGTTTGTGCTACTAACCTGTTTACCTAGGAGATTATAGAAAGTTCCAGTAGAATATCTCGTAACCTCCTAACTTGTGCGTTGGTTGAATGCCTTCTGAAAATACAACTAGGTAACCGTAGTCTATTAGTAGGTGGTATTCCATCAGTCTTAATTTCTGTGACACCGTTTCTTTTACTGTCTATCATTACAAAGCCCGAACATGATTTAAATGCTTATTAACTGGTCGTTCGCTTACCCTGTATAAACCGTATCAGCAACAATGCCTTGAGGTTCAAAATATGTTTACATGATATTTAAAACTTTTTGTGAGATAATTTTTCTGTGTAGATAAGTCTGTACTTTGACCGGAAACACCAATAAACCACAGTGTTGTTGCATTTCGTGCAACAATAACTTTTTAGGCGACTTAAGGTGAGCATTGAGTCAAGAAACTTGGATTTGAGATATTCCATTCGCATTGACGTAGTAGGATTAGTCACACTAAAGTGTTGTGTGGCCAATGTTTCACGATTAAGCAAAAACTGTGTTCTGTAGGTCAGAGCACCTGAGCCAGATTTAGGTTTTGATAGTCGTATATGTAGCTCAGCAGCCATTTAAGATTATGTTTACGAGGCAGAGCCGCACATAAGTTGGATAATACTACCTCGTTGCCCAAATTTATGTAATTGAAACAGATTTTGAACCTGCAACACGCTGGTTAGTAGACAGTTGTTCAAGCTGAAACCCCACAATAGATTCATCTCGCCTACCGTGTTTGTCTCCCAGTAAACTAAAGTATATGAAACTCGGTTGACATGGCTGCTACATTTTAAAAACTTAGGATGCATATTTTGTCACTAGGTTTCGAAAGCTCTGAATCATGATTAAAATGGAGATCAGTAGTTTTAAAGGAGTTGTTATATAGTGCCATTGTTGAATCAGTCTCGGGTGTTTAGCTAATGAAATGGAAGCTGTTCAAGTTGTTGGCTAACTTTAGTTTACAATCTACATGAAACTGCAGCCAAAGTGACCCACTGAAGTTCAGTGATAGTCTTCTTCGTTCTGTTTTCCAGTTCCATAACTTGAAGATGTTAGGTAGTGTAATTCATCCTTGATCGCAATGCAGTAAGTGCACAGTTATTAATAAATTTTACATGTGCTTTTTAGTTATTACTTTAATTCAGCAAAGTGATTCTCCAAGTAACCAGGTCATATGCGGTAGTGAAGTGAAACTGTCGGGCTTAAAATCACCTTTGTGATCATAGTGTCTGTAGAGTGTCTATTAATTCTGTGATTTTTGAACTGAGTTGAGTGGTTGCCCTAATGAGGTCTTTGACTAAGCCACAGAAACCAACATGGGATTTCGATCCTTCTGGATATCACGATTTGCTGTCTATTGCGTGATCTTCGCATCATTATCTTTCTAAGTTTGAATTGTACTGGATGTGCCGTGATGATGACTAAGATGTAAAAACATCGTAAAGTAATTTTTTGAAGACAGTTGAAGTTACCACCAAGTAGATGGACACTAACAGTATGAGAGCTGGCTAAAGTTGCCACAATAGTTTGCAGTCTTACTTGTGTTGATGGAACCGACAACCTAAGATTTCGTAGTATAGTGGTATTTCTTACTGTGACAACTGCGATCTTTTCTACCCGTTCTCTGCCAGTAGTGCTCATGATTGTCAAGCTAACCACCTCCAGAGAATGTATGATTATTAGGGTTCCCTTTACGTAACCTTTATTGTTAATGACGAAAAAGAAATACAAAATGTTTATCCAACCAGTGTAGCACCTCGACTTCATAGTTGTGTCATGTCGTTGCAAGTTAAGGAATGGGATTCGAAAGCATGATATTGGTCACATTCATAATAATTCTTATCTGTCAAGACTTTAAACGTACAAAAGTCCTCTCTATTTCACTTTTTCAATATTTGTTGCTAAGAAGACAATTTAATACTTTAGGTTTTGTTAGCAGGATTTTTGACCGCTTTTGTTGGATGAACTGTACAATCCATAAGATAGTTTTGTCAGTTTTAAAGTCACTTTTGACCATTTCAATAAGTTTTAGTGAATGGTGTGAGCGATATATCATAACATCCTCATTTTTACCTGATTCCTGTCTGTCCAATTTTAGCACTTCGTCCATTTCATCTGTGAGATTTCTTTATGCACTATGCAGGTGACCAGTTAGTCTTACAGGGGACTGGAATATTGGGTACAATTTATTATTATAATAGGATGAATTAAAATGTTACAGCTACTAGAGGAGCGGGGTGGCTATCGTTTTCAATTTTGATTGCAGGAGTTATTTTTCATGCTACCTTTGAGCTCTACTTTTCACAACTTCCTTAGGTTTCGTCATGGCGAACAATTGAAGGCGATACCTACATCGTTTGAAAAGATAGAAGAACTATTCTATATTGAAGACAATATGTGGTTTCATTCCATTGATATTCCTTTAAAACATCCGGAAATGTTAGATTTTTCCCAATTTGTCACACGAACCAAACTTATACCATGGATACCTGAGTCATATAGCTATGACAATTCACACTTATCGAGTTATTTAAATTACCTCTTCATGGAAGAATTGAAATGTGTAAACAGTTGTCCAATTAACACGCGTGATCAAAGTGACCACAGCTTTAATTTACGTATGAATTATCGACGAAGGAAAATATCTATGATTATGGAAACAATTTGTCGAGCCTTTCTATCAACTGAGACAGAATCACTAGTCGGTGGATTATCGACACAAATTGATGAGCATGCATTGATAGAGATGTTTTTGAAACGATTAGTCGATCGTGAAGTATTTGAAACTACGGAGGAAGTGAATGAAGATATTTATGAATCAGTAAATGAGACCATTCTTGACTCTGAAGGTTGTGTACATTATCGAATACGTTCTGAGGTAGCGTGGCAGTTAAGAGGACCGTTTCCTTTGAAAGCTGTAAGCCATTCCTTTTTTTGAAAGACGATTAGTTATTTATAGGTATACATAAAGCAAAGCCTATTCAACGTAGTGTAACTTCCTAGACCACGGTGAATAGGGAATGTTTGCTGTTTGTGATTGATAATATAAAACTAGTAGCACTAAGGCTACTGAATCAAATCGTGTTACTGCTCAGGCTTCTTTTCAAACTAAGTTATCAAGCTCACAAAGGTCCGTATATCAACTACTAATTGTCTCTTGGTGTGGTTTTGTTTTTATGACACTATTTCATACTCATTTGTTGCTCTGTCAATAAAACTAAGATAAACGACTAAAAATAACCTTAAGGTCGTAAGGAAAAGGAACGGAAAGTTTCCGAAGGAAATTTTCTTTTTGACGAATTCATTTGTCGAAGCCGTGTAATCTTATTGATAAACATTGGAAACATAACAGTCTACCATTAGTGAATAGTGTTGTGATTACTGTAAAGGCCAAAAGTAGAAAAGAAACACTGAAAAAAACATCGTAATAATACTACTATTAAGATCATGCTAAAAGGAGACACTAAATGTGCTTCTTCTGAACGTATAAACTCAGCTTGAATCAGTGAACTGCCATGACTCCACAGTGCATAAGATGCGAAATCGTATCTCCTTTCGAACTGTTCACTTTGACTTTGTAGATGATCTCGAAAGCAAACAATCGTCGAGCTACGTACCCAGAATTAAGTAAATGATCAACGATTGGCATTAGATATAGCTTGTATTTGTGTAAGTCACATCGTGTTTGAAATGAAATAATTTTAACGTTTTGCACTACAGTCAGGTCAAAATTAAAATATCAAGGATATATAAATGAATCTAAAGACGTGTATTTTAATCTCCTTGTCCGATCATCTTCGCATAGTCATTGTCTTTCTAAGATATGATTAATAATCACAGTGTGAAATTGTGTCTCTTGTTGTATGGTTGGCGTGACCAAGAGTTGAACTAGCAATTGGCATTTTCTTCTGCAGATCCATGCAACGTTTTGATAAAGTATGCGTTTGGTTTCATAAAAATTAGAAAGTTCCAGCGTTTTATGAACCAGAACTTCTGTTGAGTGTCTTTTTTATGCAAAAATTTTGAGTTTATCTTTGACTGAATGGATGTCAGATGTACAGATATACATTTACTTACTCCTCTGATCCTTACTTGATCACTAGGCTTGAGTAGTGACCGTCTCCAAACCGTGATCTAGTGGATTCAGAAGGCAGAACTGCTGACGAAGTGACTGGTTTTATATGCCCTCGTGATGAAATAGATCTTACTCATACAATAAAGGTGTGATTTAGGTGACTGCATAACTATGAAGTACATATCAAATAAGTGATCAACGGTAGTACAATGGACACTAAAAAGGCAATGAGTTCGTACTTATATTTGTGAGGCTGCAACTCTGTCGTCTTTTACAACTCTTTCACTAAATAATGTGGAATCATTGCACTCATGTTAGCTTTTTTCGAAAGTGCTGTCATGGATCAAGACTGGAGTAACATTGTTAGATTTGAAGTTATCTAATCATCATGATTTTATGGATAATACTTGCTGATGTATTGTAATATAGGTGAGGACGGGGAAGAATTAGTTTACATATGAATAGTCTCATACCTCTTTTCCTGTATGATAGCCGAATTCCTATATGTGAGGCCTTATTTTTCCGACCGAATTCATGATTCATTTGTATTCATATTTATATGACCTTGTTCTGAACTTATCACTTCAAGGTGACCAGGTGGAGACGTAGTACTAGTCCATGAAGTTCCTAACTATTGATCTGAGCCGCTTAGGCAGGTGTCGAATGCCTGATTTCGGACCTTGAGGTAAGAGGAATCAATGGTTGTGAAACTCTGCTAGTAAGGCTGTAATTTGATATCAGTGGCGCAGATGTATTCACCTCACTCTTCAACGTCTTCAAAAGTTTGATCATTTTCACCAACCTTTATTTTCAAATTCTTTCTCCTCTCATAAACGTTTGTCTACTTTAATACTACTCTTTTTGTACCCACTTATTCTCTGCATGCTGCTTACTGACAAATATGGCAACTTGCAGTGATGCACTTTGCCAGGTTCTACATCTATTCTGTTTTGCTTGCTTGTCTGTTTTCCACTCCCAGCGATTTGGCTATGAGTTCGAATCTTGTCTCGGCTGTTTAATTCTAGGAAATGAGGTCTTATCACTCACCTCTGTTCTCGTTATGTATGCCTCATCAAGTCCATGAAACTGTCACATAATCCAGTTATGTTGTTATTCATATTCATATTCACACGACTGTTATTATTGTTATTATTATTATCTTGATTAAGCATTCACGGGAAATATTTCTCTTTTCGAATTCGTCTCTGAATGGATTTAGTAATATTGTATGCTGAAACATTGAAATGTATGTGTTTTTATCGAATTTATCTGTTTTTTTCTTGTTTACTGTCTTGAAATAATAGCATTTCAATTCGAACGATCCCGTATGCTTTCCCGATAAACCTATCCTATGCAGTTATCGTCCAGAAGCATTCGATTTGAAACATGTTGAATGTTATAATTTCAACTGTCTACCGTTCTCAAGAAGAATCGATTTTTCAGAATTTGCTCGATCAGTCGCAGGTGATTACATATCAGTTGTTGTTTTCCAATTTTTTTTGTCCCCTTTCCATTTTGTTGTTAAAAAAGCCATCAATATTTTCAGTGAAAATAAGGTGAACAGAGACAGTGGGTTTAGGCATTAGATTTTGGGTGAAGATTTCGGCCCATTTACTGCTTGGTGACGATCAGCGCAACCTGAAGCCAGTTTTTGTACTTTTGGGATTCATCGAATGATATGTGTAATATCGAGGTAATTTATGCTCTCTTTGAAATGTTCGGAATCTTAGGTATTTATTGTGTCCATCAAGTGCTCTTATTTGCAATCTGACGGTCATCGGTCTCTTGAAGAACCGAATTATATGCACAAAATGGTCATTATACAATCACTGTCATTGCTGCCAGTTTTGTAAACTGCTTGTATCTGGTATTCTTAAATTTTATTTACCTTTTATTTCTGGATGGTAAAACGCACGATGATAATACTTTCTGTTGATTAAAATATAGGTTATTGGTCTCGAACACCATTTTGGGAAGGTGACCCATGTGAATTTGGTTTGCTTGGAGTGATTGATTTGAATAATTCGGAACATGTACGAAATGAAATCAGCCATACTACTCTTCCAGAAAATGTTAAGGAGAATATTTTGATGCGTCATGGGATTGCTGAAGCTATTCTTACAGCGTTCGCATGGACATCAGCACAAGCCTACAATCAAGGTTAGCTTGGATAGTATTCATTTTTCAAACAACTGCTAATTTGAATTTGCTTACTTATCAGTCTTTCTCGTCAATAGACTTAAGAATTTATGGTCAGTTTTGATATGTTTTCACTACATACTAGTTAAAAAGCACTAATTACGTGTTATAACCACAAATAAACTGATATGACCAAGCAGTTCGATCCGCTATAGCAGCAGGAAATTGCAAGTATCAATAAGTAACAACTAATACACGTTGCACAAGAGGTCCCCCTCATATCTCAGCGGCCCAGTGGATAACGCTTTGGCGTTTGAGGTGATGGGCAGTGGGTTTGAGTCCCTATTGGAGCACTATCACTCACTGAGATGCAGGCACATCCGCCTGACGACCCCGAAGTAGGACGAAACGTCTATCCTACATTCCGCTGCTAGCCATCAAGTAAACTAGAACATGAACCGATTTAACTTGATATCATGTGCATAGGCTGACCATTGCAAAATAGAATACGTAACTTTGACGAGTGGCTCTGAAGGCCACTCTGACAGCTTCACATATATCCAATTAAGTATCTTGATTTCAGTTAGAAAGGATATTTTTTTCATAAAATAAAAAAACCTAATTGAAGTTGTTATGATGACCTTTAGGGTCACCCGACTTTGACACTGTCACATGGTTCTAAATTTAGCACACCTTGCTACCTGAATATCACTGCACCTGCACTGTATTCGTGCCTGTCAGCCGTCAACTGAGCTGGGCGCGAGGCAAGATGCTTTCAAACGTTTTGACTATCAGCCTTTTTTCCTATTCCTCCGTACAATGGAAGACAAAGATTCCCGACCTATAGCTGCTACCTTGACGTGGTGGTCGGGCTTGCATATCACAATGACCCAACGAGCTATGCTGGTGGAACGCTTGTTCCCTCGAGGTCCTACCATACCAGAAAGGTCTGTTGGGTAGTGGTTAGACGAAAAGCAGTTACCGTTATAGTGTAAATTGCTACACTATGATGGGGGTCTGAGGGCGAAGTCGTACTGCTGCTAGCTGGATGGGGTGTGACAGCAGTAAGGTGTTTCCCTTGGATGACCAGCAGTGCCATGCTGATGCTGCCTTCTCAGTGGAAGGGGGGGTTAGAAAAGGTCGGCCCCAAAAATAACACACTCCACCACGCCCCACGGTCTGCCGGGCCGGCGGTGTTGGTTCACTTGTCGTTTCCTTTCGACCATCCGGCCCCAAAAATACAAAAGTTCAAAATAATCATACTCAAAAGGCTGGGTGTGACAGGCCTCAAGCAGATGTCCGATGGGCTCTGCGGTCACACAAATCTCTTTCAGGTACCTTAAGAAGAAATAGCCTTCCACGGTGTGGGCAGCCGGGAAGTGTCAACCGCCCTCACAACTCTGTCAGCACCCAAGTTTCTTCTGACTGCTATCCTCCTCCTCCATCATTACCTTCTAATCTTCCTTCACGTCTCTTAATTAATGATGCTGCATCATCTTCAATTTCTCCTACCTCTGCAGCCTTCGACAACGATCTGAGTCCACAGAACAGATCCCTGGTCTCCTTAAACCACGCTCCAAATTACATATTGGAGCCTTCAATGTCCGCACCCTCCGTCAAATTGGCCAACAGGCTTCGTTGGCAAAGGCCATCGATATGTGCTGTGTTTGTGAGACACGCATACAGGACCCAAGTGTGGTTATTCACCTGACCTCTCCTGACCAATCTGGTGAATCTGCAAAATTCACCCTTCGAGTTTCTGGAGATTCGATAGCTAGCTCTCGTGGTCTTGCAGGTGTAGGTATAGCATTAAGCACCAGGGCAGAAAACTCACTACTAGACTGGATCCCAGTTGATAGTCGCCTCTGCGCTATGAGGCTGAACGGCACAGTGAGAACTAAAAGGAATAGTGAGACTCGCCGTTGTCTCTTTGTAATCTCTGCTTACGCACCCACTGACTGCAGTTCGGATGAAGTGAAGGACGAGTTCTACCATAAACTGTCTAACCTCCTCTCGAAAGCCAAACGTTCGGACGTGGTGGTTGTTGCAGGTGACCTCAACGCACAGGTGGGTAGACTGAGTGAGGCAGAAAGGCACTTAGGTGGCACTTTCGGAATCCCAGCTGAACGTACAGATAACGGTGATCGCCTATTACAACTATGCTCAGATAACCGCCTATTTTTAGCCAGCACAAATTTCAGACATAAAGAAAGGCACTGTCTGACCTGGCGTCCACCGAGCTCGACTCAGCGATGGACACAGATAGACCACATTGCTATTAGTCATCGCTGGAGAGGATCGGTGGAAGACTGCCGCTCCTTCTGGAGTACGTGTTTGGACAGCGATCATGCGTTGGTCCGAGCACGTATATGCCTGCGTCTCAATGGACGTAGAAAAAATTTGGCAACAAAACCACTACGAGTTCTGCTGGACAACGAAAACACCAAAGCCGTGTTCAGTGAGAAGTTGGCTAGGCAGTTATCGGAACAAAAGACTGTCACTCATCCAGAAGAAGCTTGGTGCCATCTTCAGTCTACTGTAAAAGCAGCACTGGAGACTGTAGCCGACTCCAAGATAATGGCTAAAAAGAGCCAGTGGATATCAGCAGCTTCTTACCAACTAATGGATGCACGTGAACGCCTCCCTGCAGGCTCTGAGTACAATGAAGAACGAGTGCAACTTAAAAGAGGTCTATGCAACGACTGCGAACAGTGGTGGGCAGCGAAGGCTAAAGAGATGGAAAAGGCAGTGGCGACTGGTAATAGTAGACAGTTATTTAGACTTATTAAGGAAACTGGGGGAGAAGGTCAACAACAGTTAGTGAGGCTATAGCGGAGAAGGACGGATCTACGACGACTGGAACGATGGGCAGGGCACTTCAAGGAACAGTCTAACTGGCCTCCAGCCACGGTTGCGTTGCCCGCTATCCAGTCAGATCCTGAATGAGATAGGTTTCCCACTGTTGTTTTCGTCACTATTGTTCTCACTTCAGTTGCCAAGTCTACTGAATTATCTCAGGTACTCATCTTGTATCATTTCCCACTCCACGTTTCAGTCGCATATTATTTTTTCCAACCACGTTCCGCCGACATGATTACACAATACTTAGTGTTTGTTTCAAAAGCTGTTGATATCACGGATCGATACCAATCAGGTAGCCCTTGAAAACCGATTGGAGATGCCTCAGAAACACAAATTCATGACTTCATCATAAACCGAACCCAATCTGATGGTGGACTGGATACTACTCAGCTGTCACACCAGTATTCAGTGTCTCAAGTTTCAAGCTTCTGCCGATTCGAAATTTTATTCTACCATCATCCAGTATCATAGACAAGATTCCTTATTCTCACATACATCGGATTTTGACTAGTTCTCATTTTACGGTTTACCATTATAATGATGATGATGATGATGATGCAAAGTTTCTTCACCGATTCGATTTTCATACTGACTGGTTTGTGCAATCATGGGTAGGCTTGAATGGTATTGTTTACAGTACTGAGCTCCATCCATTTATTTCACAGTCGGTTCTGAAGGACAACTGTTTTGAATCTTATTCAAACTAGCGACTTGTTGTATGCAAATAAATTAGTGTGTAAACGATATCCTGCGCTCTCCATTCCACAGTGTTGTTTATCACTGATTCACAAGAGCAGTATTGGTCAATTTTCAATAGGTGTATTGCTTTCTCGAAATCAGTGTTTGCTGGAAAATGCACTCGAATCAAATTAACTCATGTCAACTGAATGAATCTACTGTGCAGTAATATCGTCCCACGTTTGCTTGCGTAAATGACGATGGACATACATACCCCTAGTAAATTCATTTTTTAAATACGTTTGAAACTTTTGATGACTTCCATTCGAAACCAGGATTACACAAGTTTCGCTTTCGATTATTAACTCCACGAAGCTTTCCATTTCTTATGCAGTGAACAATAGAGAGCAGCACGCATTTCTAGGACAATCATTGAGAACTCCCAATGTGAGTTGTCCACAATGATTTCTGGATACTAACCACATTATCTACATCACTGAATGATAACTGTGAATGACATGCAAAGTTATCGACTTCAATCACACCTTGATGAATGTAATCGGTTATATACCAAGCAATTTAAACATCCCAAATTATTACTGCTTAGTGACAGATTGCAAAATCCACTTTGGTCTACGAAAAGAATTCTGAGCACTCATTGATTTGCATTGCACGGTGAACAGGACAACTTTCGGTTACATTAACTTGAGACTGTCTTATCCGATATATATCAAGGGAATATGAATGAAGAATGATGGCTATTTGACGGACAGATATTCACGTAATGCAGATCAGCCATATTGGTTGTTCATTATTGCCATTTTCACAGGAGAGGAAAACAAAATCCAGATAAAACAACAACATTGAAAGCTGATTATCTTGTAAATTACACACAAGTACCAAAAGTATTCCAAACTAATATAAGGAGTATAAGGAGTAAGATGGGAAAAAGATGAAACACATTCACGCATGTTTACGGGCATATCTGGCTGTCTGTTAAGCTGATATAGGAAACGGAATCCCTGTTCTCCTCGGTGCTCACATGCATCATCACGGGTGTGTGCACGTAAGTGTGCTTATGTTTGTAGGTGACTAAGGGGAAGAAGGAGAAGAGAGGATATCTGTATGTCAGTCTTCTTCAGCACATGTGAAAGTATTCAGCAGTCACCTGTTCCACCAAACTATGTTTATTGACAAATGGTAAAATGAAAACAATGCAGAGAAGCAAAATATATCTCCCCTAGTATGATTTGAGTTAGAGTAAAATGTTTTCGTTGCCAAATTCTACCATGCCAGTGAGATGAATGAGTGATTCATATTGATAATGAGCAGAAATAATCTAAATTACTGTTGTTCTTTTTCCGGTCAACTTTGCATTGCATTTGCATAGATTTTACATAGGCCTAACACATTTATAAAAACACGATGAGATATATTCTGAAGGCATTGAAAACTGCGTAGCCTACAAAAGTTAATACGCTCGAAA